ATCGAGGGGGTTATCTCTCTCTCTCTTACTCTCTCTCTCTCTCTCTCTCTCTCTCTCTCTCTCTCTCTCTCTCTCTCTCTCTCTCTCTCTCTCTCTCGTACATTTCTCTGTTCAGTAAAAATTATGACAACACATTACTTATTTAGTTTTGAAATTTTAATCTACGCATGTATTACAAATAATTTGAATGCCTCTTTCCAACATCTTGACCGAGTATAATCACGGCCGGGAAATGTCTACAGATACATGAAGTTAGCTAAAATAATCGTCATAAAAGAATAAAAAGGCACATAAATATAGAATATATTGCAGCAGAATCTAAATAAAACGAAAATTTTTATGCAGTACGATAACAGTCAATGGCAACAGATAATTGTGAATTAAAAAAAAAATCCGTTATTTTACTCAGAATCGGTTTGGCACGGAAATACATGTACGGTTGTTTCAACCCCGTACAATGTATTTAATTCATTCTATAAGTAGTAGTTTTATCTTCAGAAGTCCACATCATTTTATTAGTGAAAAGAATAAGCATAATTATTTACTATATTAGTAGATTAATTTATTTTTTAACTACACGCAGTAACAAATACACGGTTGACGGCGATTAAAATCATGTTATTAATATATCCATTTAAACATAGGTATGTGCAGAAAAAAAATGTTTTTAATTATTTATTTATTGATTAATTAATTAATTAATTAATTTATTTATATATTGTTTATCTCAGTAGAAGTTTCATCTTCTTAAGTCCGCATTATTTTATTAGTTAAAAGAATTAGCATAATTATTTACTATATGATTTATTTATTTTTTAACTACACGCGGTAACAAATACACGTTTGACGGCGATTAAAATCATGTTATAAAAATATCGATTTAAACATACGTATTTAATTATCTATTTATTTCTCTTTTGTTTATCTTCTGTTTATTTATATTTATTTATGACATTTGAATTATAGAATAAAAGAATAATTTCATTGCAAGGAAAAGACCAAAGGCATTCCGAATAAATCGTTCATCTTGCGTTCACCGTTCGTTCACCGTTCACTTTGCGCTCGCGTTCCGTTCGCGTTCTGCGTTCACTCACCGTTCACCGTTCAAACATCGTTCACCAAGTTGCGTTCACCGTTCACACATCGTTCACTCACCGTTCGCTCTGCGTTCGTTCTCCGTTCGTTCAGCGTTCGTTCACCGTTCGTTCACCGTTCGTTCACCGTTCAGGTGGGAAAGTAGAACGTTTCAGGGACTGTAACCCCCTCGATTCTCAGGTATATGTTGTTTCAAATAAATATTCTAATTATTTTTCCTGAATATTCCAAGCAATAAAGGTGATAAAGGTAATCTTTTTTTTTTTAGATTAACAAATCCATTTGACAGTAATCATTGGCTTTTATTTTCCATCATCAAGTTCAGACAGTTCACAGGAAGTCCGTGCTATATTTGTAGTAGCGTGCTTGTGCTGTCAATCATTCAAAATAATTCGACACAGTGGAGGTGTGGAAATCGCGTTTCACCGAACATGCCGAAGGCAAGGAGTCACTTAGTATTCCAAGAAATTTTAATATTTGACCCTATCATTTCTAGATCTGATTTTTGCAATCCTGCAGAAAAAAAATAATGGAAGGATTCAGTTTTAAATTGAATGTGAAACATATTCCCTGCCAATTTAAAATACTACTGTCGGCACAAGTTTATACTAAAATACTATTGTTTAATGACTGATTGATGTTGGTTTTAAGACTGATTTTCTTGTGTTACAAGAAAAATTAAATAATAATTAAAATATACTGAAAAAACTCAATAAGAATTTTATTTCGGGAGAAATGGCACCGGGGGGGGGGGGGATCTCAATTATACTGAATAGCAAAAAAGATATTTTTAAACATGTTAAGGTACGGAGAAGGAAGGAATTTTTCTTCTCTTATAAAAAAAATATTTTAAACAGTTGGTCTTTTCTAAAAATTTAAAACCACACCATCATTTTAATTAGCTCTAAAAATATTTAATTAACTAAATATTTGCAGTTCTGTTCATAGTTCTCAAACCTATATGTAGTTTAAATACGTGTTACTGTAGAAATAATTTTTTTATGTATTCTTGTCCTGTAGAAGACTTGGATTAATTATTATACATCCATTAATAATTTGTCCTCTTTAAAATTATATCAAATTGATGCCGTGCGTGAAGCATTTGTACATTGCCCTTTTTTGAATTTTATTTTTTAGCATCGTTCTACATACACGTAGGTACTTAATGTATTAATTATTTTCCAGGGGAAATTCATGAAATAAGTAACAGCTGAGTTATAATAATAGAAATATAAATATCATAGATAATTTTTGCAATGAAATGATTATTCTTTAAACACGATATCTAAGTTATTTAATTAAAAAAAACATGTAAATCCTTACCATCAAAAAGATAGGTCCTTTCACTTCGGAGTTCAGAATGACAATGAAGACTGAACGATAAGTGAACGGTGAACGCAAGGTGAACGCAAAGTAAACGGAACGAAGAGCGAACGGTGAACGTTTTGTGAACGGTGAACGCGAGCGCACGGTGAACGGTGAACGCAATACTGTGAACGAAGAGCGAACGGTGAACGCATGCTGAACGAACGGTAAACGAACGCTGAACGAACGGTGAGCGAACGGAAAAATGGGAAAGTAGAACGCTTCAGGGACTGTATATGAATTCAAGTCTACTTTGTCATCTTAAATGCATAAAATGAATATAAAAAAAACAAAAGTTAATCATTGTTTTGCGTGTATTATTTTATAATTATTCTACTTTTATATAGCGCCTTATATAATTATGGAATTACCCTAAAGCGATTTACACTTAGAAAACAAGTACAATATAAAACAAAGGACGAGTATAATAAAAAACAAAAAAGTAAAATCATAGGTCAATTTTTTAAAATTTTTGTTCCCCCTTTTTTATAAAATTGGATACTCCATTGTGACTAGAGCCTTATAAACTAAAGATGAGTTTTTAAATATGTGTTTTTAAATTTCTTTTAAAAACGTCAAGTGACTGTTCTTTTCGAAGATCCTGCGGGAGGCAGTTCCACAGGGTGACTTAAGATACATCAAACCTTCTAGCTCCATACATCTTACTTCGATTGCGTGGTTTTACAAGGCTCAGTGAATCCCCAGACCGTAGTGAACGTTGTGGGGATAGACCTGAACAAGTTCCTGGATGTATTCCGGGCGAGCTTCTGTAAGGCCTTGAAAGTGTACAACATAATTTTATATTGTGCATGGTTTGCCACAGGTAGCCATTGAAGAGTTATGAGATTGGTGTTATATGCTCATGTTTTCTCAAACGTGTCACCAGTCTGGCTGCAGTGTTCTGAACTTTCTGCAACTTTTGTAAGGATGTGGCATTGAGGCCAAACAGTAGTGCATTGCCATAATCAAGTTTAGATGTCACTAAAGATCTAACGAGTGTCCTGCAAGCATCCTCTGTTATGAGTGATCTTATTCTACCGATGTTACGAAGATGGAAAAAAAAACAGGATCTTGTAACCGAATTGATTTGGCAGTCCACTTTAAATAATTCTACATTGTTAGGAAAGCGTATTAAAATTTATTATCTTGGCTCTGATTAAGGGTGCACCCAAGTATTTTATCTTCAAAAAGAAAGATTTTGTTCCGTTTTACTGTATTACAGGTATAATTTGAGTGAACATTTGTATTTACAAAATTGTATGTATTAAAAACAGTAAAAACACACACACGATACCTATTATTCATATTGTTTAATTGTTTAACATTTTTAAAGCAATTAGTTATTAAGAGACAATGAATCAGGACGTGATTGACTGATTCTCACAAACTGGATGATCCGTTTAGAAAAAGTAAGTGTCCTGCAAGTGATTTATCATCCCTATAATCCAGTAATCTAGCAATAATATTGCATCGTGATTAAATGTTATGGATTTTCAGGGCTCGAATGGGAGGGTATTCATGCAATATGATAATTTTTTTTCCAAATAAATATTGTGATGTCTGAAATAATCAGATTATCAGATCGTAGTATTTCCTTTTCTTGTAAAATATGATCAATGTAAACTTCAACTTGTCCGACGACAATAGTCTGTATGTCGCATCGATTTGAAACATGTTGCATGCTGGTGGTTTTTATCGGCATATCCTCATCAACAGAAATGTTGATTATATAATTTCTTAATACCTTATCTTCTTTCTGGCAATCGAAAGTTATTTCAAGCCTTCTTTTTTAAATTAACTTCTCCTAAAATTTACGTTCTAAGCAATGTTTGTAAGTTTGTTGATACAACTGACTTTGAGCAAAATCGTTATTGGATTTTTAAAGCGCCAAGTAAAAGTCAAACCAATACAGTTCAAAAATCACAACTCAGAAAAAAGAACTGTGGTTCTGGTTTTACTTTACGTTGATGAGGGAGTGCGCGTATTTGTCTACTTTAAGATAAAAGTATACATGAAAAAAAGGCAGAAAAATTTCATTTATTTAATTTTAGCCACATGGGTTAAATACATGTACTTAGACTGATGACGTCATTACTTTTTACATATGTGATTTGTGACATTGAATGGTAGTTTTTTTTTTTCAAAACGACATGTATTCTGTCAATTTATGTTTCTTTCACAATTTATAGAACTCAGCACATTTTAAGATTTTTTTTTCAAAATTTGACTTTTGTAGGGACAGAGATATTGCTATGGGTGCTGACTCAACAAACTCGTTTTTGATTATTAATACAAATGTATATTCATATACTGTATATCTTAACTTTTTTCTTTTTCCTGAAGAAGGGACAGGGCGTCCCGAATTAGACATTTTTTATTGTTTGTTTCGTTGGTTAATTAAAGTGCATTATATAAATTTCCATCCGTGACCTTGTATCTACTTTGTAGATCCCACACTTAGGATATACAGTGTTGTTGGGTTTTAGTGTTTTTTTATATACTGTATTGTAAATATAATGTATGTATTAATTTTTTTATAGGAAAAAGACGGATTTTATGGACAGCTCTTGGATTTGCTACCTCGAGATTCGAATCTTAAGAAACATTTAAAATATGAGAGGTGTTTCTTTGTCAGCTTTCCTTGTGACGAAGGTGAAAATTTGGAAGTTTTATCTGAATTAGAAAACTGCATTGCTTCTATTGCCAAAGACAGAAGATGGAAAGAAAATATTCCTAAAGAATGGTCTATAATTGAACTGGCTCTAATCACAATGAGAGGTTCAGAAAAAACCGTTTCTATCGAAGAACTCAAAGAGAAATACTGGAACGCTAAGAAAAATGAAAGTTTAAAAATGGAGGATGCACTATGCTTTTTCCACGATATTGGATTGATTCTTCACTTTCAGGAGGAGAACCTTTCAAATACTATAATTGTTGACGTCCAATGGTTTGTTGATACATTTAAATTCATAATATCAGACAAAAATCATGTCCGAGACTTAGCAGAAACTGACAGAGACTGGCAGTACTTCCACAGGACTGGGTATCTAATGGACAATTTCCTTAGTCGAATTTGGGAGAGCTTATCCATAGACTTTTGGGAAAGGCCGACCATTTTGCAATATATGCAAAGACTAGGATTACTGGCGATGGGGGAAGTAAAACACTACGTCCCATGTATGAACAAAAGAGACTTCGGTAGAAAGGAACAGATAGCCTTACGAGGAATGGAAACAAAGTCATCTGTATTGGTGCTTCATTTCCAGTTTTTACCGTTCTTTTTTTACTGCCGATTGATAGTTGCCTGCATTGTGGGAACAGAGTGGGAGGTGGTAGAAGATGAAAGTATACCAGGCTTGTATAAAAACATAGCGATTTTTGTATACAAAGACCACCTAATTGCCTTGGTAGTGACGCAAACTGCAATTCAAGTCCAGATTTTGAGACCACAAAACGCACCTATTGATGCTAATATTGCCGGAAATATTAAGGAGACTCTTGAAAATAGACTTGGATACTTAACAACCACATTTCACAAAAAAGTTGCATATAGGGTTGCATTTCAGTGTTCACATCAAGATGTTCTTTGCGATAATGTGGGGTGCTATGTATATGAAGACGAAATATCTGGGAAAGGTCAAATATTATGTCCAAGACATGGATTTACAGGAAAACATATGATAAACGAAAACGCTCTGACAAAATTCTGGAGAATCGTAAGTGAACTAAACAAAAAAGATCATATCAGAAATTAGCTACAAAGTTTTAAGAGGATTTTTTTAATTTATATATTTCTAAAGTTTTCTATGCAATGTATTTACATTAATTCTTTAATATTGAAACAAATCTGTAAATAACAACTTTCATTTGTCATGTATGATTTTAACATTTGTCATTTTAAATCTAAGGACGCGCCATCTGTTTCCTGTGCTAAATCTGCAAAAGGTAAGCAACTCATCTACCGTAAATTTGGAAATTTTTTCGTCGATTTTATTTTGCGAATCTGGGTCAATATGCTGTTGATTAATTTTTACGCTTCAAATTTTTGCGAATGACCACTACTTTGTTTACATTTTCTTATTGTTGAATTATTTTTAAGAAAAATATTTTTGCGAATTCAAAGAACTCGCAAATTTGCTAAAAATTTATCTTCAACAAAAATTTCAAGATTTACGGTATATGATTTTTTGTAAATATACAGACATATTTCTTATCAAATATTTACATAATTTGAAAATTATAATTTGCAAAATTATTTAATTTAAATGTTAAATTGACTTTGGTTTGTTGCAGTTCCATTGGCCAATGAGGAGAAGCTTACAAAGCTTATAACACTGGGAAGAGATGCAATGCAGGCGTATTTTGATTCCATTTTTCCCCCTGAGGATTTACAAAAATGCCTCAAGGATAACAAGGAATCCCTTTGTAATGGGCCCTTCAGATTCACAGCTACTGAAGTTAGGAATGTTTATCCTGGTAATAATTTGTGACAAACATATACCCTTAAAATAAAGAAATAAACAAAATGAAATGAAGTTTTTCCTTAAGATATGACTAAACCGAATGATATTTTAATGTTTTTTAATATCCTAAACATTATTAATACTCATCCTCCTGTTACATCACAGCTTCCGGGTCAGTTGTAGATGCCTCTTCCTTTGATGTCCCAATCATGTACAAATTATTGAGAAATTTTGGAAGCAACATTCCACCGCCAACTAATGGTTGGGGAAAAGAGCCGACGATTGGACAGAAAACACAGGGTGACGACATTGAAAGAATCCGCAAGTACAGGAATCAGCTTTGTCATAATCTTTTTAAAACACAAAGCATGGATGACGAAGATTATACCCTTTACTCTGAAGAACTGACCCAGGTAAAACCCCAGACTTTTCCTTTTTATTAAACTGGGTAGTTTATTTTCTATCTTTGAATGAGTACTTTGGATATACCTTTCATACAGTATTTTCATTAATATTACATACACCTATATTAATTCTGTTATATGATTTTATCATTCATTTATCAAAGACCTATGTATATAATAAACAAATGCTACGTATTTAAGTTTAATGTTTTATTCGAGTTGGCAGGTATTGTCCACAGTGGTCTACACAACAGTGGGGCAGCCGGCAAAATGGCATACCCCCAACATCAACATAAGTTGTGCCCTCCCTGACGGGAAAAGTAGCACGCTGGGTTGACCTCATTCGTGCTACGGACACATTTCAACACAAATTATCTTTTATAATTATATTATTTTGCTTTAGCTTTAAATTGTATAAGATATAATTTTCAAAGTCAACATCACATATATCAACATCAACCATCACATATATCAACATCAACCACAAAAAGTCAACAAAATCAACAGTTCAATGGTTAAATTGAAGGTGACGATTTCGCCAATTTGATACGACCACTGTGAAGTATAGTTGACTGTCTTTCCCCGAACTCCTCGAATGGATAATTCGCCCAGTTGACCCTTGTCATGCATGGTATTCGGCCAGAGATCATTCCAAAGGTCCCAGAATACGGAAATAGCAGGCAATTCAGATCAGCATCGTTAGTCTCCTTCAACGAAATCTCTAAAAAACAAAAACCCACAGCAGAAAAAGATTCTCAATAACATTTGCATAACTCTAATAAATTTGGTATAGCCAAACCATGTAAAACGTTATTTAAACAAACAAAAGGAGAAAGGTTATATACTTAACACCTAGCTCAAGGGTTGAGGTGGGAGGGTATTTCATAATACAAAAACATAAATCGGATACTTTCATCACCCACCTTTCACTTTCACTGATGCATAGAAAAGGGGAGATAACCCGCAAACCTAGTGACTAAGTAGCGACACTGTATGGATGGATAAATAAATTCCGGCTTATCACATTTATAAGTTTTTTCCACAAAAAGGAGGTGAATGATGACATATAATAAAAGGATAGAGCTTTGATAACGGCGCATATTGTGAGATGAACTCAAATATGCGGTATTATCAAAGACCTATGTATATAATAAACAAATGCTACGTATTTAAGTTTAATGTTTTATTCGAGTTGGCAGGTATTGTCCACAGTGGTCTACACAACAGTGGGGCAGCCGGCAAAATGGCATACCCCCAACATCAACATAAGTTGTGCCCTCCCTGACGGGAAAAGTAGCACGCTGGGTTGACCTCATTCGTGCTACGGACACATTTCAACACAAATTATCTTTTATAATTATATTATTTTGCTTTAGCTTTAAATTGTATAAGATATAATTTTCAAAGTCAACATCACATATATCAACATCAACCATCACATATATCAACATCAACCACAAAAAGTCAACAAAATCAACAGTTCAATGGTTAAATTGAAGGTGACGATTTCGCCACATGGGCACCGTAGGTGCACACCGCCACCTGGTGGGGGTAGGCAACTTCAATTTAACCACCCACCGTGGACTCCTAGCCTACTCAAAACCCTCAGAAACCCATCCATCGTGAATATCACTCTCTCTCATTGCCAACCCACTGTAGAACTATCCTGCATTAATTAATTGGGCCTAACGCCCCCCCCCCCCCCCCCCCCCCCCCCCCTCCTGAATTTATATATTTCCAAGTTACTAGTATATTGATTTGGGTCTCAGATTCCATTATTAATATCCAGCTGGCAAGAAAGAACTACTACCTGGACTAATGTAAGAAAATTATATAGAAAATACGTTTTATTTAGATTCCCCCCCCCCCTTTTTATTTATTTGTTTATAAATTTGAATTTTATTTCTTATTTATTTATTTTTTAGGTGATAAAATACTTTCATGCAGAGATTAGAAACAAGATGAATGAGCACCTTTACTCTTTAACCCCCCCTTTCCCTTTCAGCATGATTATGCTATTCCTGTATTGTTGACAATAATTTTTAAGTGTTCATAATCCCAATTTGTAAACTGCAGAACATGTTTTGTGATATTTGTTATGTATCTTGCCAGTTCTGAGGGAATGATGTTATACATGTACCACTTATTTTGAAAGCGAACTCTTCAAAGGACCATTTAAAATTGATTAAATCTTGTATATAATAAGTACCTTTCAAACCAAGACACACAATGGAGGACTTTGTATTTACTGCTCATTTGTAAATGTAGTTGGACTGCAGCAGACATTGAAGGCACATATGACTAAATCCTTCATTCTAAACCCCTTCCCAGCTGATGCTCTATCAAAAATGCATGATCTTTTCACACCTTAAGCCCCCCCCCCCTCCTTTGCAGAAATATGCTATGGATTAGGTTATTTAAATAATAGACTTCAAAATCTTTTTAAGGCTGTAGAAAATGGATATATGATAGAGAGCATAAAAAATTAATATGCTTAGTCAGTGGAAACCTATCCTATATCCAATACCCTAAAATGCTGGAGAAGTTTATCTTAGACTTATCTTAATACTATGAATCTTGTAACTCCTACACACATGTGGATTTGGATTTGTATCCCCTAGCTAACCTGAATTTATACCCACTAGCTAATGCATGGATGTAAACTGCATGTACATATATATGCACCGACTAATGCATCTTAATCCCACATGAGATAAATGTGTAAAGTAACATAAAATAATTATGCTACATGTAACTGCTCAGATGAGAGATAAACACCTATCATATTACATGCAAATGGCACCTGGGTTTGAACTGGTATTTTCAATGGGAAAATGCCCCCTGAGATATGCATATGTGTCTTAATTTCCAACAGTAATCACATACTATTAAAAAGAAAATATTGTAGGAATTGGTTTGGATTGTAACCTAGCCTGTGGAACAATGGTTAACCCCCCCCCCCCCCGCTGTTAGGTAGTTAGGTAATCTTGCCTTTAGTGCTTATTAGTGATAAAGAAAACTAGTTACCTAAACAATTTACTCTTTGCGAGTTTAAGAACTGAGAATATAGAATTTTAACTAAAGCAACTTTTATCTGTGTGAAATAGCAAATCTTAACAACTTAGAGACACAGCAGAAACCAACACTGACAAAAAGCCCCAATTTGAACCTTATAAGTCTCATTATAACCCTTTCTATTTTATTTATTTATTGATTTATTTATTATTAATGCATGACCATTCATACAGCATATGCCATATTTGGAAAATACATAGAAGGTACCAGCTCTGTGAGCTGTGTTCAAATGAGCCTGCATATGCATTGACTGTAGCACCTGAAGAACTCTGTAAATTGTCCCTCATTCCCAATGCCAAATTTAATAACGAGTAAAATTGGTAAAAGTTCAGGAAATTTGAGTTGCAATTCCTATTTTAAGGTTCACTTTTCCCAATGAGAAAGATAACTCAAAGCAATAAATGTTAATTATTATGTTAATTTCCTAATTCTCTTGACAATTTATTTATTTCACAGTGCTTCAATTAGCCTATAAATTATTATTATTTAACTTCTTTTTACAGTCTTTTATTTGTAGAATTGTATTTCAATACCCAAAGTTCTCTTCTTGTATAAATATTAAACAAGTGACTAGACCCATGTTTTTAGAACATTGTCAGGAAATAAAAGCCCATGCTGAAATTAATCTCTGTGTAAATAATCAACATTTGTGAAATAATTTACATATAATAAATTAGTAAAATAAGTTTACCTTTTTCATGTTAACTTAAGATGGTACAAAACTTTTCATTTACTAAACACAACTTTATAGGATACAAGGCCTTTATGCTGTTAAGGGGTGAGAAGACATTAAGGAGGCCAGGGGGTCAACAATTATTAACCACCAGATATAAATTTAAATTTTGGGATATGATATCTTAAGCTGTCAACTATCATTTGGCAAAAAAAAATTTCATAAATTTTAGCTTTAAAATTTGATCAGTTATATCTTTATTGAGCTCTTCTTCTAAAGGAGATCCAAATAGCCTAAAAATGGCCACAACCACCCAGCCCCTTTAAATGTATGTGTTTATATTGTGTTATCATCAAACCTTCTCAATTAAGGTAAAGGCGCTGTTAGAGAAATTCATGATTATGCTCATGTACACTGGAAACGGCTTCCAAGGAACGAACAGCATGGCCTTCTTTTATTTCCTTTATGTATAATTTTAACTACACCATTGACCAAAATGACAACAAAGAATATATGCGAAACATGCCCTTCGCCCCATCTTACTTAATCTGAACCCTTTGATATATATTAACCAGCAAAATAGTAGCTAGCCTTGCTAGATATTACATGTAGTTAATTAAAATAAAATTTGGGGAATCCTATTTATATCAACTGTTACTAATGAACCATTGAGGTCCTAAATTACTATGCCCACATTGTTATTGTTCTTGTTGAATCTGAAGTTGTCCTCCCTATCAAGCCCCTTAAGAGAAGTGATATCCGAATAGGTGAGGATGCTGCTGGTCCTAATATATTATTATTATGTGGATTTGACAGACAATGTACAATTCAACTCTGGTGCATGTTACCTATGCCGGGTATGCCTCCCAGATTTTACAGCCTGAATTGTTGATTGTAATGCTTCCATCCAACTGAATTTTTTGACTCAAAATATATTTACTTTTTTAGTCATCATTCATATTTACTTACCTTGAGTTTTGTCATATAGCATGGGTACAACTGTAATATGTATAAACAAATACACATCTTACCTGATGTTTCAATCATATCATAAAATGCATTATTGTAATGTTACATTCAAAAGCACCAAAACTTGTTATGTATTTTACTTCAAACTATTTTATTTCACAATTGATTACTGCCTTTGTCGCAATTGCATATCTTTCATGCCTCTCTTTGGACCCTTGTTAAAGTTGAATGGCCTTGATTGAAATTTATATACTTTAATTAGAGTTCTGTCCCTTTGTGAATCTAGCTACATAACATTTCTAAAGATTTGTCAAACTTTTATTACTTCTCAATCTGTATTTTTTTTTATTTATTCACTGTTTTAGGACAAAAGGTAGACTGGTATGGCACAGCTAGGGTAACCCTTGAACATTTATTTATTTTTTAAAAATCACTCAATATCTGATAAATGCACCAAACCCAAAGTTACAAAAGCATTCTCATACTGTAAGAATTATAATTATGGATATTCCCATTTTTAAATCCCCTAAAGATTGGCTAAGGGACCTAAGTAACTAAATATAGGCCACCATGTGTACGGATGTTTATTGGCAAATGACCTTGAATAACATGGACCGAATAAAGTTGAAGTTCATACCTATTTTTACATTATCTCATTTTGTTTATATATTATTTCACTAAGTAAGTTTTTATTCATTCAAAATCTGCTGATGAAGTTGGTTATTATTACCACATTGTAATTTTGTACCATGTACCAGCATGGACCGGTGGCAAATCGATCTGTTTCAATCCAATAAAATACTTGCCATCGGGCAATATCAATGTTAATAAGATAATCTGTTTTACTTCTTTGACTGAAACTTAACTTTAAAAACTGGAAATTATTATAAAATATTTCATAATACAAAAACATAAATCGGATACTTTCATCACCCACCTTTCACTTTCACTGATGCATAGAAAAGGGGAGATAACCCGCAAACCTAGTGACTAAGTAGCGACACTGTATGGATGGATAAATAAATTCCGGCTTATCACATTTATAAGTTTTTTCCACAAAAAGGAGGTGAATGATGACATATAATAAAAGGATAGAGCTTTGATAACGGCGCATATTGTGAGATGAACTCAAATATGCGGTAATATGTTCAATAGTAATTCATCAATATCTCTAAAATGCTAATTTACTTAGCATCTTGAATTATACCTTTTGCTAAAATATATTTGGAATAATACAATATTTTCAATATAAAAATTACCGAACATGATGCTTAAATACTTCAATTGATCTTACAAAGAGACAAAAGCACGGGGAAACTTATTTTAATCCGACATGATATTTTATTTTCAGGCAATACTGAGACTCACAAAAGGATCTTTTAAAAGTAGAATTTACACCATTTGCCAATAGATTACGTACAGACGTAAGAGTTTTCAACATTGAAAAGTTACCTCTCCCTTATCTAAGATTCCAGATCTAAGATATGCTTTTTCCTAAGTTACACTAAGTGTTGCATTATGTATTGATATACACAAGTGAGTTTAGACTAAACATAGGTGGCGTTTCTTTGCAAATGAGCTAATAAAATTGCATAAGTTTTATATTTTATGTACAGAGAAAGTTAGTGTAAACTGATTTTTCTTATGCATACTTGGTGCCCGCAGTATACAAGTGCAAATGCACATTATGACGATGGCTGTTCTTTATCATTCAAAGTAATAAAACACATAAACAAAACAACAAAACAATATGGGCATCTCCTATTTAATTTAAAATAAATAATATATAATATTAAGGAGAATATTCTTGAAAATTCAGAAGGATGCTGCACAAATCCTATGCACTTTCTAAATTAATAAAACCTTAGGAAACTTACTCTTGACTTTGAATTTTTATACTATTTTAACTGAAAACTTAACAATAGTAACTAAACCATTGGAGTGTCGACATTTGTGCAGTAATAGCTTAAATCATTGAAATATCTTGCGTCTTTTTGTACCTTGTGTATGTAAGACAAAGTCAAGTATGTCATTGCGCCGAAGCGAATTTGTTAATGTTTCTTATAAACTTGTGTAGTTGAGGTCGATGAAATCATAATATGACGTCATAATGTGGCGTTCGCATGTCGTTGGTTCCAGGAATGTTTTAGTAAACAAGTCTTACTATTTTCTGTGTAGTAGGAAGTGCAATTATGGGTTTTAAATATATATTTACATATAAACCTCCAAAGGTAGCCTTAACTCACCTGCGTAAGTAATTTTTAATCTTAATAATCCTTTGTTTGTCACTGTATTCCTCAGATTGTAAAGTGATATGAGACATGTTTTTTGAAGGTAAAGAATCAACAATACAGAAAGAAAAAGAAGATATTGAGAGACAATGACCAGGTGTTACACGACTTGCCTCTAATGTTATAAACATATAAAAAAAAAATCTTTAAAGCTTTTATTTGGTATCACATGCAATTTTGATTTTATTTTTTATAATGAATGTTGAGAATTTCTTTGATGTGATTGTCAAGAATGAAAATGAATAACTATTTGTTATTTATTTACTGATAAATCATGAAAATAAATTACATATGATATTCGAGATTCCTCTTCTTGAATGTCTATCTGATTTGCATGCAGTCTCAGTCAATGTTACTTGGAGCACAGTTATATGTAGGTTCTACTTTTGAGAGTTGGTAGCCTATTGGCAAATCAAATGATTAATTAAAATGGCATAGAGAAATGACATGCGTGATTTTAAAAACAAAAAAAATACTTTTTGCTTTTAAGTGTCTATTCAGTTTTGACCATAAACTAAAAATTTGATTTTCTTTTACGAAACTTCATTCTTCAACATAAGCTGCCATAGGGGAGTATCATCGTTTCAAAAACAAATCTTGCTGCTACTGAAGTAAATAACCCCATTTACAATTATTGAATTCTACTCAAGCAAAAATATTATAACTGAAGTAAAAAAAAAATCACAATGGCTCTTTCAAATGATATTTCAATATTTTCAATAAAATAAAAATCAACAGAGATGTTAGACTCGTGACACGGTTACAAAGAACAGGGCTTCCATCAGGAACGTACTGTATCTCAAATCACATGGGTTTTTAATTTATTTTAAATAATTCTAAATTAATAAGCGGCAAATCCAGCATCATCAATTGTCAAGTGCATGTATAATTCTGATTCTTTAAGTCGTGTATATCTAAAGCTATTTTTATCAACAACATGATTCTCCTTGAGTTTATATCATGAATGAATCTGTCAATGTATAGCGTGACAAACCATATTCAATTATTTACAAAAGAATATTGTTTTCACACATTTTGCAACGATTTCCTTTTCTTCATTTCAAATACGGCCCATCAAATGATAATAAAAAGTTTGCGATAATAAATTCTTGAAGACCTGCACAGAGATTAACATTTAGTCAAGGTTTAAACATACATCAGAATCTTTAACAAAAAGTTTAAGGAATTTCAGGGGAAAAGTCCAAAACATCCACATTGACATTTTGATTGAATTGAAACTTCTCTCTTCTCTACAAAAAAAATTATGCTAAAAATAAGGAAATTTTCATGTACGTTCAAACAAAAAATAACACAAAACAAAACTGTACGAACGGCTTAAAGACTTCCTCTGAAGTTATAACAAATCCTTTTTTTTATTTAAGATTAAAAGGATACATAAATTATTAAATTTCATTTTTGAAATTTTTATTAAATGTTGGGGGTGACTGCAGAACTAAACAAGTCTCGTTGAACACATGTTAATCAAGAAAATTTTCGATATTTCCAAATTCTTGAGATCAAAAATTAAATCAAAATTCATTAAATTGCTCGTTGCAATTATATCTTACCTCATAAATTCAATAAAAATAGTACCAACTTCAAAATGCAGATTCTTATATTAATTATTTTATGAAATAAGACCTTTCTACGCGATTTTTTTAGTAAAGAAGGATATGGATATTACGAACAGTATTCAATCTCAAAGTCCATAAAACAATACAAAACAAGAGCAGAGCAAACATGGACCCCCGAAACATCAGAGGTGGGATCAGGTGCCATAGAGAGTGAGCATCCCCTTCCGACCAGTCACACCCGCTGTGTGCTACTTGTCATGATCGTGAAATAACGGAAAAATCCGTCGTCAATTCACTGTATAAATAAGGGACTAACAATTGGTATGAAAAACGTCAGTCAGCATTTGACTCAATGATAAATTTTATTTGCTGACAATGTCATTGTATCGACCATAGATCTTACGAAATGATGACTTTAAACGAGACTGCTGATATTCTTGTTTCATCAACTTGGTTGTCAATAATTAAGCTCGCTTTAGAAATTGATCATACGTAGAGCATGCTGTTGTGTATCGAATCAACTGAGATATATATACTCCGTATGCAGGTGATGAAGGTATATTGCTGCATAATAAGGGAGTTGACGATAGAAAAGTTAAAGTCATCACGTTTATCATATAGCTTGGTTGTTAGATTACCATAAGTGTCTTTTTCAAGTAAAATATCAAAGTATGTAACAGAAGGGTCGGACTCTGTGGTATGTTTTATCTCAAGCTCACTATGATATATCGTATCGACGTCGGAATGGAAATTACCATTATTAATTGACATAACGTGTTTGATATATCTAAATGTCGAATTGAAAGCAACAGCAAGTGTTTTATTCTTTTCACGCATACGATTTTTAAAAATTTAAAGATTAAAAAAAGTTAATTTGATTTAAAAAAAAATCCAACAAGCTCTAAAAATACGGTTATTTTTTATGGCAAATAAAAATAATCATGTCAATTTCTTACGAAAGCTCAGAAGGCTCATCGAGATTCAAGTTTCAAAATACGAGATTCAAAGTTCAAGATTCGAAATTCGAGTTTCGAGATTCAAGATCCAGATTAACCAATCAAAAGGCTCATTCGAGAGTCGAGGTTCAATATACGAGATTCGAAATTCGAGTTTCGAGATTCAAAATCCAGATTAAACAATCAAATGCGGGTTCAACATTTGATTACTCCCCTTTATTATGTTTTATCTATCAATAAACCGTTTAGTATATTTATAACAAATGAGTCATTTGATTAAATTACAATGCAAGAAAGAGTGTTATATATATTAAAAGGAAAGTTAAATAATCATTGGATTTTTGATCAGCAAGATATACTTCGATTTATATTATGACTTCTTAAATATAAAATAGAATACATATATCAGGAATATATATATTTTTGCATTGTCTCCTTTATTTAAAGGGTTGTTAACATAATAATAAAGTTATAAATAGTGTCTAAAGATTAACAAAATCACCACCCCTACCCGCAACACCTGCCCATTTTTCCCGACACTAAAAATGTTACTTTAAAAACTTGAAAGGCAATGTAGCCTTGATAAATAAAAACCGCGTTTGTTTTTCTAATAGAGGGAATACATAAAAATAAAGTTTTCAATTACTTATCTTCATCTAAGGCTTTGATTTCTTGAATTAATTAACAATTATATATGCAATACAGATTGCCAGTATGAATTAAATTAAATCCAGCATTCATTTTATCTGATATCAAACAGTATATTAGTCTAAATTAGCTGCAGAACTATAGCAAAATGGTTTTATATTTTAGTCTCTGACCATAGCGTTATGGTCAAAGAATAAAATATACTCGTAAGACCTTGTAAAGCTACAGTTCGATTCAGCAGTCAAGTCTCACTGCACATATGTAATCTTTATAAATGTAATGAAATATAAATCCTTGTTTTACTGTACAGTGTAGAGACGATTCATGATATTTCATAATTATTATAATCAATAACAATATTCTCCCTCAGCTATGATCTGATAGAAAAGTCTACCTACTTATACCGCAAGTCAACGATAAGACAATATAATATTCTATATATACGTATTTACTGTGTTGTTTAATGAGAAAAATAAGATTAAATATGTATATTTCAAGATGTAATATAAATCTTATTTTTAGTTCGTTTTAATACATAAAACTTTTTTCTTACATTATCATTTTAGAAAATGATCATATTGTTATAAATATAATCAACGAATTCTTGATACTAAAAACATAATAAAGGGAAGTAATCAAATGTTGAACCCGCTTTTGATTGGTTAGTATGGATCTCAAATTTCGAAACTCGAATTTTGAATCTCGAATTTCGAATCTCGTATTTCTAAACTTGAATTTCGAATGATCCTTCTGGGCTTTCGTAATTTCTTTTTAAAACTTTGCTGTTTTTAATTTGAATCAATGAAAACGTCTAACGTTTAACGAAACATTTAAATTCAATTATTGGAGAACTCTTTTGAATTGTATCTTGCTTTATTCCGTTTTTTTTCTGATGGATTGATTGTATATTGCTTAACGTTCCGATCGAGAATATTTCACTCATACATAGACGTCAGTGAATGCTAGTGAAAGGCTCTAAATATAGCCCTATTCTCGGCTCTCAGGGCCTTTGAACAGTGAGGGTTCTTTATCGTGCCAACGCCTCCCGTGACACGGAACTTATCTTTTAACGACGACGGACCTAATTCATTTCTACAATAGAAATTTTACTCAAATTTTAATATGAGGTAAAGTGACTTTTTCTGAGTTAAAATCGATGAAAAAAATATATGGTCATTGATATAGATTTTTGATAGGGAGCGTTTCAAAAGTAGGCAACGGAAATCGATGATTACTATAGAAAGTAATGTGAAAATACGAGTTTGTGGTATAAAAGTGATGATTAAAAAAATTTTGCAATAGAATTTTTATTCATATTAAGAAACCATGTTAACAAAATAATTTAGTAGCAAATAATGCCAAAAAATAAATAGGTCATCGGCCTAGATTTTTAAAAGGGGTGTGTCAAACTCTGGTGAATGGCATTTTTTTGGGGGGGGGGAACTTTCATTGAAAATACCTTTGCAAAATAAGTTTTGTCGTTTTATTTCCTTATTCTTCAATTTACTTTTACACTAAATAAAAATAATAGTTTAAAGTTGTTTAAAACTCTAGGGATGGTAATAAAGTAGGATTTCTGTGAAATATATATGCGTATAATACTCTAGGGATTGTCTCAAAGTACAATTTTTGTGACCCACGTCCCATGGGAATTAATATCTGAAAGTTTGATTATTTCAAAAGAATCAGGGGCAGTAAGCATATACGAGCTGCCCAATATTTTGTAGCGTTTATTATTTTCCGAGCATGTAAATCCTAAATAATTAACATTCCATCCACAAAAACTGTACTATATTCCTTTTCTTTTAAATGAAAACACAGCGTAAAGTTCACAATTTATTAATGGCGATAAATCAAAAGCATAGAAAATAAACAAAACGAACGAGTGACTTGGTCAAAACTTTCCTAACTACTTCTGCGTTTCTACAATTCTACC